TATCTTGCAATAAAAGAAATTTTTCTTGAAAAAAAAAAAGAAAAAACTCCTCTATAAAATAATGTTAGAAAAGGAATATTAAAGCAAACAAAAAACCAAGAAAAGAAGGTAGAAACTGGAGAGTATACGCGATGATGCGCATAAAGTTCGCATTTCCGAGTTGCCTGAGGAAGTTCACTATTACGCTCTAACGGACGCGTTTCAGCAGTACGGAAATTTGTCGACCGCGGCGCCAGCTGACGGCTGACCACCCTCTTCACCAGTCCAGAGGTTGCTGGACTGGATGGAGTGCTAGAGAGAGTTTCAACTGTTACTCGATGAACTATTGTCACTTGAATTATTTCATTTCCACTGATCAACTTGATGAAGGTTAACCATATCGTGAGCCATCGGAAACGAAGAAGAAAGAAATTCGTAAAAAAACCTAACCTTTTTTAACAATCTAATCCAACCTTCACACCCACACACATCTACTCCCAAAAGCTTTAATATCAACAAAAAAATTCCAGAAAAAATTTGTAATTATTTTTAACAAGTTATGCAACGAAAAAATGTACATTTCTACGTGAAGTGGACTTTGGACTATGAAAAAAGTTCTTAACTCAAGAGGGAAATTTGTAATTTAACAAAGGCTTTGTTCTCCAATACAATAAAATTTCATCTTCCATTTTGTCTTCTTGCACTTATGATTGTTCTGACGTTGTTAGTAATCGTGGCTCGTGAATTCCAGTCTGAAAAGCGAGGACGGACGATTCTCTCCACTTGAATTCCCCTTCCTTTCGTCCTCCAGGATAAAGGGTTGCGTCGACGTGCTTACGGATCTCCAAGAGTGATTTGTCAAAAACATTCCATGTTGGAATTTATGCTGGTTTTCCGGGCGTGTAAGCAGTTGAGTTTAGAGAGATCGTGTATGCTTTACTTTTATGCATTAAGAACTTGATAGGGCACGCAAGGACGAAGGAATGTTTCAAGAAAGTTGGTATGCTTGATAACATTTGGAATAAAATGACTGGCATAGCATCATTTTGTCTATAAAGATTGAAACAATGATAAAATTGATCAAAGAATGTTGAAGAATTCATTTTTCTCTAGCTAAAGTCAAGATGCAACAAAATTGAATGGTAGCTAGTGATTATCGTTAACGAATCCAGACACTTCAATCGAAGCTTCTCCCTTGAGGTAGAGGAGTCTGCTTATTCGATACTTCCTCAGTCATTGCTGCTGAAGTATCCTGTTTACTTAATGGCCTCGTCCATTTTTATAGGGCAATTATGCAAACCAAGAGCAGAAAAGAGAGAGAAAGAGTCTAGGGAAATGCAATCTGGATGGGGACTGTTATTGGAAAATCGGTATCGAAACGGAATCAAACACAACAGAGTATACTTTTGACTGTTATCAATATTTAATCGCTAAATATACCTTCACTATGGATAACGATAATGATAGCTATTATGTATCACATTAATAATCTTTTATCAACATTTAAATCGTTCAACACCAGGTACTCCAACATCTAGAACCTACGACAAATTTACTTTTAACTTCTCTCGAAGCATTTTTTTGATAGAGTTTCGATTAGAGGACGCATCTAAAATCAATTAATTGTATAAAATTTCACTTAAAATAGTGAATCATTTGATTTAGGCTGTATGAAGGATGGTGGAGATGAAAGGGGAGCAAATAATCATCCTGGACCAGTTGTGGAGTAGTCAAAAAATTGAAACAGTGGATGTGTCTCTTAAATAAGACCTTATCCCAGTTTTTAATCAACTTGAAATCAATTAAATGTTAATAATAATTCACTTTGTTCATCAACAAGCTTTCTAACCTTCTATTAAATTGATTACTCCACCAAACTTCCCCCAGGAATTCCTAACATCTTCATCAACAACCCTTCAGTACTTTTACAAAATGATTCTACCCAGCAGTTAACCATGGCTAATAAAATTTTTTACTGAACGATTTAGTATTATATAAAAACCCTAGTATAACTTTCCTGTAGCAATACTTGCGGTGGAACCTGTGCTAAAAAGTGCTAGTAAAAAGCGAATATTTATTTTATTGAAATTTGACTGTGGTAATAGGTATCGTACGTGTACGATGCTTCGAATAGTACATAAATCGTGAAAATCGGTTCAAAACTCTCTGAGGAAATTACAGAGGAATAAAAACAATTGAGTTATTGATAAGCGATGATTAAAGTCTGAAGTTAGGGTGCATTTAGATGAGATGACCGATTTATTCATCCAATTTAATTCATTGGAATCAGTTGATCCTAATCCTCCATCATGACCACATGTAGATCCTTCCTTTTTTTTTTGATGAATAAATCTTAGAATATCTCCAGCAAAGTAATTCACCAACATCTAGGAATAGTCCTGGGTGATGATAACGAATTCATCAATCTAATATTATTCCCTTTCCTCTATTGATTGGTTAACCTACTATAAAAATGACTCATTAGTTTATGAATAAATTAGAATGATTGTTAATAATGAGGAAAAAAAAGCTTCAAAGAATGTTAAAGTCATTGTAAAGAAGAACTTCAAGAAGTAACTCTAGAGTAAAAAGATTCTTAATAAAGATTTCTTTAACTTGAGATAAATTTGAAAAGATTATCTGATAAATAATTTAAGCATCTTAAAGAGAAAACTAATCTCTGACATCAGTTAAAAAATTACACAGTACTTAAGAACTGACACAAGTTAGGGGAGTCGTGATCCGTGTCCCAATTCGGAAAATTGGGTTTTAGCAATAGTACTTTGACCCGAAGGATGAGGAAGGATAAAACTTTATACTCTAGTAATAAAACCCAAACGTAAATGATAGTAGAGAGAAGTAAAGCTTGGATATGAGAAATGCATTAGCACCAACATTTTATAAAAATAAACAATTTAGTTGTTTTCTTAATGCTTTTAAATCTGTTATCTTATTATCAATTATATCAAGAATTATTTTTTTCATTATTCTTTTTTGTCATCAAGATAAAGAACATTGACTAACTTTTCTCTTGGATTATCTCGGGACTTTAGACATAGAAGGGTTGCTTGTATCCTAGAATTATTTGGGTCAAGTGAGTATAACTTTACAATATACACTTGACTACAAATCCTAAAGTTGATGGAATTCTTACTCTAGGTTAGTTTGAATTAAGACCAGAGAGTTAAGTGTACTTAAGAAAACTGATATTCAAATCATAAACGATGAGAGGAGTTCATTAGATGTAGATTAAATATAATTATTTAAATATTTAATTAAAATTATTCATTAAAAATAATTAATTTTTATTTAATCCAATCATAGATGACCATATTAGAATCCAACCAACATCGTGAGAATCAATGTAAGGTCATCATTCCACTTCTAGACTAAACGTTGGAGCATATCTCTCTGATCCAAGTTAATGAGCAATTAGTAATGGAACTACTTGGCTATAGAATACGAACAAATGTGCTCGCCATATGCCACGCATTAAACCGCGTTATCCGGATTTGCTTGCCATCAGAGATTTACTGTTTTTTCAAGAGCGTGGGTTGTGTAAATATGCTACTCTTTCCTTATCTTCTAGAGTCCTTTTCACATCAAATCTTTCTGCTATTCATTTTAATGTGACATTGACGGTTATTTTCAAAAGCAAAAAATCTTCTTTTTGCTTCCTACTTCTTTTACAATACGTCATAATGAGAATTGCATTTGTTAAGCTTAATTAACTGATTCTGACAAATTGAATGTCATTTTTTTTTCTCTACAATGTTGAGCCCATGTCGTTCTGGGTGATTAGTATGATGAATGAGATTCAAGTGATATTTTAGGATATCAGTGTGTAAGTTTAAAAATAATTTAAGCTCTGTTTGGTTAAGAAGAAGTTGATAAAGCAGAAATTAAAGGTGATAGTATTGTTTGGAGAATAAAATAATCATCATGTTGGAATTAATGCTATTAAAATATTCCAAAAGAAATATTTTGTTAAATAAAATTATTCTATCAGTATAATATTTTAATAATAAAAGCTCATCTGTGATCAATATTAAATAAAAATTAATTAGTGATTAATGGAGAATAGTTACATCAGGATATTTTAAATATTCTAAAGCAGTAAAATAAAATCAACGATACCCTATTGCTGTCAAGCTGCAAATTTCAATAAAGTTTATATATAAACAACTCCGGAAATCCTGCTCGCATTAATACTTCATTAATCACAATCTCAGTCTTAAATCTGATTATTCTCAAGCTTTTGATAACAGACTTGCTAATAATAGATCATTAATTACCTGGATGAAAATGAAAAAAGTTGATTAGTTAACTTTGATGATAAGTAAAACACCAAGTAACGTATTAGAGAACGACAACAGTAATACTACGTTACTGCTTTCAAATATATTCAATTTTTTACATATCACACGTCTCATTTTATATACGTAGAAGTGTGGGAAAATAGCTGTTTGAAGTTGGTTGATTAAACGTCCACGTGGATGCTCTTCTTGTTTTAGCTTGGAGTAGCACAGCCACGACAGTGACCCTGTACCTGACGTAGGGAAGCTTGTGCTGAGGGTGAAATGAAGCTAGATGAGAGGGTTGATGTGGCAAAACGAAAAAGAATAGAAGAGTAAAAAAGTAAAGAGTAAAAAGTGAAGGGGGTGAAAAAGATGGGCTAATTGGACGTCGGAGGCGTACTCTTGTGGTCTTAATTTGTCATTTGTGAGTGTGAATTACTTCTTTTTTTTTATTTCTTTCTTCTTTTATAACCTACCACCCCCTTGGAATCCTGATTTATTTCTCCAAGAAAATTATTTCCGATTTTTTACTTTTTCAATTCTTCATTGATTCTGTTCAATTTATTTTTTTTTTTATCACAGAACCAATTAATTGATCAACTAATTGACTCATTGGAACAGGAATGGAGTACTTACCTAGACCAAAAAAAAATTAATACATCATTTTTAATAAATGCTAATGTTATTGAATTATAAGAGCCCAAAATAAATTATGAAACTAACCTTTTTATTTTCAACCATTATCCAAAATATTACTCATTTTTCTTTTCATCTGAATTGATGCACTTGTTATCATCAAAATGCATGACTTATTTCTTGATAAATGGTATTGATGCAACACAATCTCCAACATCTTCGACTGCAAACCATTCGCATCCGTATGCACGTAACAGTCAGACTGTTTACTTAGGTCTTCAACAAGCTAAGCGTCTTGCAAGCATATTTGTTGATAGCTGTCGTTGTCGTGGATGGTTGAAGCTTTGGCTTACTTTTCTGATAGCCAGTCTGAGAAATGTTATTGTCAGTTGCCTCGTTGTATACACAGAATTTTCAACACATAACTAAAATTGTCCTTTTATGCTTTGTATTGTTGTCCCAATTATTGAGGTTATTTCAACAATAAATGCACCGACAATTAATAAATATAATAAATCACCTACTCTACATCATTGTGTTAATGACGAAACACCACGGATAATTAAAAACAATAATAATATTCCGATAAATCAATAAATTAATAATTGAAAGCATCATCAACTTTGTTTGACATTATAACCTCAACCATTGTCTTCTCTTCAGACACTTGAATTTCATTTAATTTGTTAAACAATAAAACTTGATAATCAATAGATAAATAATGAAAAATTGTCGAGGAAAAACACATTAGTGACTGATAGCTGCGAGCTTTGAATTGTGGACGAGAACCATCAGTCTTCCATTGTGTTCTCTTCAGCTTGACGCCGTTATTATCCTTCAGCTATACAACGCCCCCTCCTGGAAACTTTGCAAGCTATAGAAAGCGTCTCGAAGATTCCATATATTTGCTCATTTTCACATTATTTATCATGTTTACTCATCTAATTTTATCATCTTTTTATTCTTTATCTTCCATTTAATAAATTTATATAAAATTTCATGTTACTCCTGCGATATTACTGGAAATTAATTAATTTCCCGCACATCGACATCAGAACACCGTTCCTGTATTCGCCGCCATCTTAAACTAACCTCCTGTCTTAATTTAGCCACATAACCTATCAATCAATTGATACCAACACGCCAACTTTTTTTCAAGGTTGCATACTTGACAAAAAAAACTTCACACTGATGGCATTGTAAACAAAAGAATGCTAGAGAATAAATTATTGGATAATTATTTAAATTTATTTAATTAGTAAACAATCACCTGGACCAATGGTATCAGAAATAAATTATGAAAAAAATGGAATATTATTTAATATTAATCTAGCTTTGGATGAATAAAAAGCATTGTAAGTATACTTCTGATGTTAACCACAAAAAAAATTGGTTAGAATAAGGATTAATTTTTTTTTTAGATAAATGTATGGTTAATATTACTCAATGGAAGCAGTTATTTAACATACACTTGGAGATAACATCGATAGTGATGAGCCAGAAGAAAATATTTTAATATCACATCCATCAGATCCATCATAGCCTACACCATGATTCAGTTCATATAAGTCTAGATAGTATATTAATATACACACAAGAAGATTTTCATGTAAAATTCAACCAAATTAACATTGATTAACACATAATCAGCTTTTATATCAACTCGAGGGATCATGCAAAGTTTATTAGAGGCAGAGAGTTGGAATAAGTTGTGGAACTGATATAAAACTCTGCTTCAAATTTCGTGAGTTGTCTTACAAATGCTATAGCAGACTTGATGATATGTTCAAGAACATGGAAAGATAAACTGGTATGTTAAAGTTGATAAAATACAAGGTAAAAATATAATCAATATTGTTATTTGAACATAAATAATATGATGATCATTATTGAATAGACATTGTTGATTTATCAAACATTTAATTAATTCACAAAAATAATCAATACATTATAATTTACAATTTCAAGTTAATTAGAAGCACTTAATTATCAGATAAACATCATCTTAAATTAGAAGTAAATCTAAATTAATGATTCAATGATAACATTGATAAATGCATTGAAAATTGGGGTTAGAGGGAGAGGGGGACAAGAGCAGGCCGGTGGAGGACTACATTTTGGTCCGTCCTCTCCCCCTCCTTCTCCTCTTCCACCTCCTCCTCCCCTCACAATTTACATTTTTATCATTTCACTTCCTCTTCCTTATTTCATGTTTAATCTTCTCCATCTTCCTTCTGGCTTCTTCCTCCAAACTGTTCATAATTTACAAAAAAACTTTGAAATAATTTTTAATATAATATTACATTAAATATTTATTAACTTCCCATTAGAAAGTTATGTCCATGAAATGAGTAATTTTGTTAAATCTTTGCATTTTGAGACATTTGAAAGCATATTAGAAGGTTTAAAAATGGATGTACGTACGTACAAACATACATACGTACGTCCGGTTTTTTTTCATTTTCGATATCTTGAGAACCACTGAAGATATCGACTCCGGACTAATTTCATTTGAAAGATAATGCAATAAAGAAGATCTGAAAGTAGTTATGAATAAAATCGGGTCAGCCGTTTTTTTTTAATAACAAAAAGACTGTAAAATAATTCAAGTAAAAAGACATTTGAAATAGATACTACTTGTTGAATGATTAATATTGTTCAGAAATTAGGTCAATATTAATGCAATAAAGCTGTTCATGATTTCACGTGACACTAAACAATTATAAATTGTTTATAACAATTTAAATTTGTTATAAACAATTAAAAATAGTTTTAATCTATTAAATAATCATTACTGTGATTATATTCGATAGATATCAGTGAAATGCTGTTATAAATAACTTTATGTGATTAAACAATTGTATATTGTTTATAACAATAGAAGTTTGTTATTAAAAGTAGAAACAACAAAAAGATGACAAAATGGCGAATTCCAATAAAATGGGAAGTCTGTCGTCGGGACACAAAATTTAACCAGACCCACTTTTTATTAATATTATCTCGAAGTGTACGTTTTGTGCTTTCATTCAGTTCAGTAATTATTAATCGACAATGTTTCATAAATCAAATCTTAATCTATAGCTATCGTTATGCATGCATGTTTAAATCAATACTTGCTCCAATGATATGTATTATCTAACAAATTTATTATATTTTTAATGATTATTTATGAACTTAAATCATTCTTAATTCACGTTCAAGTGAAGTTTGATTTAGTGTTATCAGAGGATTTATTTAATTTGTAATTTCGCAGATTGATGCTGAGTAAGATGTATCTTTCATGAAGAGCAGAAGCAGCTCATGATTATCTGATGATTGTCAATAATAGATCAGCGATGTTGGCGTTTATTGATCAGCAGTAAAATGATACTAAAAGACAACATTATGTTACATGCCTTTAACGAATAATATCCTCTTTATCTAGTCTACTCGCAACGTCAGATGAAAATAAACCCAATCTTAAGTATACTTCTGTATACTTTCTGAAACTTACACTAGAGAAACTCTATTACCTTGAGTTTATGGCGCACAAAATGACCATTTGGTGGTGCGAAAGTTAATTTAAGGACTACCAACATGAGTGGTTCGACGCATAAACAACCTACGTGACTTGACGCTTTTTATATTCCCTTCTTTTTTTTTTGCTCTCTTTTTCTCGAGCACTTTTTTTCCATTTTTCTGGCCTTGCCTAGAGTAAAACTTAACTGTGAGTATTTAAGATCCTTTTTTAGCTACGCACTTCACGAACTGGGTGTTATTCTTGATTTTGTACCACGATTTTTCCTTCTACGAGCGAATCTAGCACCACAGAAGCACTGGTGGGCATCATAAAACTTTGCTTAACAAACTTTCCTAGAATGGGAAATTGTGAAAGCTATGAATTTGATTTTTTTTTCCTTACTCTCTTTTAGAGTAACATAATAATTTATTTCTTCAATAAAAAGGTGGTTAGTTAGTGTTAAATGAAGCAATTTTCTCGTCTAAATCGAAAGGAAATTTTTATTTTAATGGTGACTTTTAGATCGATTGAATTTGAAACCTTTTGATTTGCCCAGTGGGTAATGGGTGACGAGCTTTTCTTCTGTAGGTGCTCGACATTAAAGAGAACGGAAATGGGTTACGAACAGTTGAATGGCTCCAAAGAAGGTTTTTCCGCATCATTCCAGATGAAATCGCGTTCAACTTTTGTTCGTTCTTATACACATTTTGCTCGACAGATTTGTTCTTGACAAGCTGATCAATATCGTCAATACTTTTTCATATATTTCCTGCCAAGTAAAATAAATAATTTACACTTGGAAACAATAAAATAATGGTAATTTTCAATAACACCATTATATTTCTCGATGAAATTCATTAAACAAACGTAATCTTGATAAGAACAAAAAAGCGTATCTAGTGTACTCGTAATTTATCTTATGAAAAACTAAAGAACATTTTATACGAATACAAATTTCTTTGCGTGTCAACTTGGCAATTGCGTGACCGAATCATGAAACGCATGCTTGAATGAGAAAGATTCAGCGATGCGATTATCAATGAATCGTGTTAAGCTGCTATAATAGGTATGCATACAAGAAGCTAACAACCGCAAACCCGTCGATGGAATTCGGTCATCAAATCAATCGAGCAACTATTGTCGGGTTTCAATGGATTAGTAATCGAGCTTAACAGCATGATTAATTAATGACACTATCAGAGCGTAGGTAACTAGGGTATCACCTGAAATATTTACCCATTAAGCAATATATTATGGACTGATAACTTCTCCTAAAAATTTCAGGCTTGCTCCAAATGTTAAGTATCCAGCTGTCATCCAGTCAATTGCAGTGATGGTGTTTATTTCATACTTAATTTCATTCACTGATGGAGATTTTAAAATATTAAAAAAGCATCAAATGAATATAGCCAGGATTCATTTTTTATTTCTTTGAAATTTCTGAGTAAAACTAAATAGGCCTAAAAAAGGCTCAAAATATTCCTAAAATGAAGAAAGGCTCTATGTAGGTCCAATTGAGTCCAAATTATTTTTCAGGTCCACTGTGAATCCAATTTAAAGTTAAACTTTTTTTCAAGGCCCACAAAATGTCTAACCTAACCCCAAAAATATTTCTTAAATTCACAACAGCTTTAAATCTAGCCAAGAAATATTTTCTAGGCCCAGAGTATGCCCAATTCAAGCCAATAGTATTTTCTAGTCCCATAATGCACCCAATTTTAGCCCAAAAATATTTTTAAGTCAAGATTAGGCTTTAATCGGGTCTACATTAGGCCTTTTTTATCATTTTAGGATCTGTTTTAGGCCTCTTCTGGGCCTATTTAGTTTTATTCGGGTAAATTTAACTCAAAAATATTTCATAGGCCCACAATTCAAGCTTAGAAACATTCTAGGTCCACAAGATGCCCACGTAAAGTCCATTATCCAATATCATATTCAACAATAATGACAATCAATGAAAGTTGATTCAATGATGAGTTTTCAAGACACGTTGTTTTTCTAAATTTTAAAAATATCTTCAGGCCTCCATTAGGCGTCTTGTGGGCCCAAAAAAAATTAAGACTCGAATTGAACCTGTTTTAGACCTGGAAAAGCATTTAGACTCGATTAAAGTCAATGCACGGTATTTAATAATTTCAAACGTGTTTCTTCCTGGTTTTGTTTATGATACTAAAGCTTTACAAAATATTTCAGAACACGCACCTTCATGTGTTAATGCGAAGGACACATCGTTATTCTTCATCGCCGCAATGGCCTTTAATAGCAATGATGATGAAATATTACAGGTTGTTTCAAGTTGAGACATAGCCTACCTAAGACTTAATATTTTGCTGCGGGTCCAGCCCTGGCCTGAGACTTGACAAACGATTACGCGACTGCCACTTCGTGCGAAAGTAAGAAAACACTCTCGCTAAATCATAAAGAGCCATTACCGACCAAGCCACACCTAAGATATACCATTCCTTGAGGCCATTAGATGAGTTCATTCACCCTCTAACCGTTTATGAAGAAAATAAATCGTTGCAATTCACGTACCCCTCATTTGTATCTACTGTCAACTCTTGCTTCTATTTTGAAAGAAAAAAAAAACAAAAATAAGAACATCCGAGAATTTATTTCTCAAACTGTGATGATTATTTTCACATTTAGGTGAGTGAAATAAAGTAAAAAGTAATCATTTTCGTATGACATTTTCTAAAATTTAATCTTATCTTTGAAAGGAAGCTGTAAGCTTACAGAGAGGATGCTCAAGCTCAAGAGGCAGGAAACGTCTTGACACGAGGTCCCTGTACAGGCGGAGAGAATACGCTGTACTTCAATTGCAGTGGGATGGTTGGATCTGCGACAGACATTGATTGCTCCCTTCGGGGAAGCCAAGCCCCTCGAGCGTGTCCATTTTATGTGGGTTAAGATACTAGACACTGCACTGACCATCATGAGGCACCGGATTTCCAGGTCACTATGAACACTAAACCATAATTACTTCCTACAGTGTCACAGCTTCATTGTACCTAACGTCGTGATGTGATAGGTGAAAAATTGTTGCTTTGAATTGACAGCCAACTTTGAAGTCGGAAATTAAAATTTCTATCCAAGCAAAGAAGTCTTGGATGTTGAAGTATTGGAAATGAGTTTTTTTTTCTTTCAATAATTATTAATTTCGATTTATAAAAGTGATCATTATTTTTCATATCACTTAGTTTGATATGAAATATTTAGGTCTTCATGAAATAAAGTTCTAGAAGCTAGCATTGATCCAATTCCAAGAAGAATCTAGGTCTTTTGATGGAAATGACCAATAAAAAGGTTGATTAATCAATAATTAGCACATTTTATGATGAAAGCATGATGAATCAGCAATGATTTTAACATTGTACATCATTAAAAGCTAGGAAACTGCCATGCTTTTATAATGAAATGGCTTCGTAATTGATCAATCAGCTTTTTATTGGTAATTTCCATCAAAAATTAGCATTCTAACGCTTCGCTATTTTTTGATAAGTTGTTTTTTTCAACCCTCCACTATATTAGTTATAACAGCGATGATTTAGCTTTCAATAAATTTACATCAATATCAATTCTACGAGAAGTTAGTGATCTAATTATTGATGGTAAAAATACTATTGATGTCATGCTTTCTTTTTTACGACATTGGAGTTCAATAAAATACCTCCACACGACTTCCGGTCGATGAATTATAGAGAGAGAATTCAAGTAGTGACTCATTCAAGTTCATTATCATGAGGATAACGTCTCTCTGTTGGATAAAACGTTTTTGTGAACACCCACAACACGCTATCGTTCTCGCAAACAAGTCTCATACATAGTACACTTGTGTGTTTATGAATAAGCATTTCAATGCACATGAAAAGAAAATATCATTCTCGTAGTAGAATTATATTTTTTTTTCTTCAATTTTAATTTTTATTTATATTACTCACAAGCTGGAGGCAGTAAAATGTGGTTTTACAGGATAATATCAAACGTAAAGTCATCGCCCACATGACTTGCTAAGAAAATTGTGGTTTGCATTACAATAATGTTTAAGTTGATGGCATTAAATTTTATTGAAATGACTTATTCTTGGTGCAGCATGACTGGAATAGTATAATTATTTAGTAAAGAAAAATTTGCAAATACATAATAGGGTTGATGATGATAATAATAATAATAAATGGAATTATATCGTGTTGAGAATTTTAATTAAATTAAATAATTAAAATTTTTTAGTGATGGAAATAAAATAAATAAATATATGACTAAACGCTAATTAAAAACATGAATAAGTTTTCTAGGTCAAAATCAGGAATATAATGGTAATAGTCATGGAAATTATCGCTGTGTTAGGTCATTTAAACTCGAGTTTGGTCAACGCACTCAACTCACCCCTTGGGAAGTTCTGACCAAAATAATAGAAAACTAAAAATAAACTTAATGAAAAAAAAAAAAAACAGCCTTGCGAGAAAAGAAATAATAGAGTAAGAGTACCTACGCCAACTGGATGGGAAAAAATTCTAATTACAAAGCGAAACAGTAGCGTTGGTTGGTCATGCTGAGAGAGGAAGAACAGTGGAAGATAAATCCAGTGAACCGGTGTCGCACAACGTGCAATTTTAACTAGTACATGCTAGCAAAAACCATGTGCTCACAACTCTCCACTGTCATGTGAGATAAAAGTACTACTCGTGTACCTAATTTTCTTCATTTTAGTACACTTTGTTCAATAAAAATATCATCGAGATATCTCTGTAAGGATCTATCATTTTACAACCTTTATTTAGAATTATTTTTTAAAATTAGCTTGAAGAACATATTGACTTTACATTACATGAAAGAACTATCATTAAAATATTTTTTACTATGTTTTCTAGATCTCTCTGTGAGCTTTTCTGATGCTGATACTCCTCATG